AAACATAATTAGTATGATCATACACACACAAATAAGTCCACCACATATATATCACAGAATGATTCATTTGCTATTGATTACGACGATGGCGGTGTGTCTGGGTCCTTATCTACTGATGTGGTAATCGTAAGTCATCGTCAAGTAAATGGTCCGACTTAATTCTAATTATAGTCATAATCTATGAAAATTTTCTAAGGAACACATGTTGCTATTATTCTCCGAAAAAAACATACGCGATTATATTTTATTAATATCAACGTTTCGTACGTTGCTGGCCTTAAGGTTCTATCCCAAACATTCGGAGAAACGACAAACTTTTCGACAAGATCTCTCTCCAATTCAAACAAGAAGCTCCGTGCAAATTGACATCGTAAATTAAAAAGAGACGAAAAGACAATCGCGTCGAGATAAAATGTTCTACGTCGTACTCTTCTTTCGTTTTCCTTTCGAGAGGAAATGCTCACACAAATGTATACACATAAATCTCTTGTTCATTAACAATAATTATATAAAATTGTGGACTCAGTGATATCAATCTGTCGATATCAACATTATGTATTATGTCATATGTATTATAATTAATTGTTGTAATATCGAGAAAACTGGTTAAGGTATCTCACTATCATTAATATTATAAATTAACTTTTTGAAAATGTTACTTTTAAAAACTTGCGTACTGTACTAATTATCGAGATAATTATCGAGTGATTTTGAAACATGTGTAACAACGATCATATTTTTTAGCAATACAGGTTTGCAAAAATTTCATATGATTACAAGCCAATGTCTCTACTCTAATAATCAGGAGAAAATATCACAATATACAGTAATACTAAAATGCAATTGATACAGTCTGCCACGATTTAGCATATTAAGCTAAATCTGTAATGTGAATGTACCATTGCTTATACATATAAGTCTACTGTTATACCGACGCAAACAATACATACTTTCAAAGATCAATTTCACCTCATTAATCATTAAACTTTTTTAAATACATTGAGTTGCGCTAGTGAAATATTTACGTATAAGCAAAACGCAATTTTTAGAGTCGATTGGATTAATGAAAAGAGCTCTTAGGCTCTCAGAAAATTTATATAAATTTTAAAGCTTTTAATTCTTGTGCCCACGATGCTAGATATCGTTCCGAAAATTAACCAATCGCATTGGTCAACTGCCGAATTGCTTAAATATGATTGGTCAATACTTTTTCTCTGTCCAAGACCTCGGAGCGACTTCTAATATCGTCAACACAAAGCTTTGGAACGCTTCGTTTGATTTCTGCCCTCCTGTATGCTCACCTTCTTATAAACACATATGCGCACTTTTGTATATAAGGGAACGCTTAGCAATTCGACTGCCTGTTCTTTGTCTGTACGTGCCGGTTGTGGATTGACTCGCAGTTATAACGGTCCTAAAACAATTTTGACTTGTGTAGCTTCAGTCGCCGAGAAATTCAGGAAACATGTATCGGCTCTTTGTGACGATGACGGTAATCACGGTATTCAACTTCGCGTCATTCAACGCGGAGTTGCATAGGTGAGTACATGCTATACACAAACGATCCATATTTATATCGACACGATGAATTATAATACCGTATAGAGATCGCGCTTCCAACTACTTGGAATCGCCGCAGAATTCGTGATAAATAATTATCAAATCAATTTCAAATAATTTTATCAAATTTGTAAGAAAAACGCATTTTGAAAGTCGGAATAAAGTGAGCAAACTAATTGCAAGAGATGCTTTGAGGATTTCTTCGAAAATCTTATTTTAAATGAGATTAGCATCAAGAAAAGAGGAATTCGCTTATTTCCAGCTATCTGTTTTTTTAAATATTTTTTTTTATCATTTTATTCTGATCTGGGATTAGATCGCGATTGACCAACAATTAATTCTAATATGAAGGATATAGTGACGCAAGTGCATCCAGATTAATTTACTGAAACGAGCTATTGGGCTGTTAGAAGCTTAATGTTTATAGAACTTTTAAAACTCTTTATCCGCTTTACCGTCCTTCTTTTTACCTTCTTATAAAGACAAGAACGTAAACACGTACTTGTATATATAAGCAATGTTCGGAACGATAGTGATCGACTCTCTCTCTCTATTGCGCGTATCGGTTGTGGTGTCAATCGATAGGAAATGACAATAAAATCTTCTTAACTTTTGTAACTTTTATCGCCAAGAAATTCTAGAAATATGTATCGACTTTTCGCGGCAATCGTGGTACTCAACTTCGTATTAATCAGTGCGAAGTTACATATGTGAGTACATATTTATGTATACTCGCGTACAAAGATTGCACATTTATATCGACGTCCGCGTGATAAATACTGTATAGAGATCGCGCTTTCAACTTCTTGGAATCAACGCAGAATTCGCGATAAATACTTCAATAAATACGATAATTGTACACCAAATATGTAGGAAAAACGCGTTTTTAAAGTCCCAATAAAGTGAGCAGACTAAGAGATGCTTTAAGGATCCCTTTGAAGCTCTTATCTTAAGTGAAATCAGCGTTGTGTACAGAGCAATTTGCATTTAAAGTACCTAAATTACATTCTAATGCGTAAATATATAAATGCAGGTAACATTTAATTCTTAATACCAAAATGTAGCTTTAATAGTATTTAAATAAGAAGTGCTTGAAAATAATCAAATAAATTATCCGAAATTCGTAATTATGTTGTATGATATTTGTACATTCTTGTTTATATGATATTATACATATATGCGTATAACATAATGGAATGTTCTTTATGTTGTTTCTAGAATTCCGTTATACAGGACATACACCGTTGGAAAATCTTCGCCGGACAATAATATGATACAGCCCCGTTTGGTTACGGTTACTGTACCTCTGACTAATTATAAGAATATTCAATATTATGGAATTATCGGAATTGGAACTCCACCGCAAATGTTTAGAATACTTTTCGACACTGGTTCCTCAGATCTCTGGGTACCATCCAAAGACTGCAACGTTAGCCAACCTGCTTGCTGTAAGTATATCATAACATCGTTATCTCCCCGACAATCTATTATTCCTATATGTACATATGTATTAAAAAAATTAATGTTTCAAGCATTAAAATAATCTTAATAATTTTTTTCTCGTTTAGTGATTGATATCAAGTAAAAATATAAGAATAATGCTGTAGATTTCTGTCTTTTCCATTTCCATTTTAAGTAAAGTTATAAAATCTTTAATGCAACTGTTTCAAAAGTGAAACGTGGTAAAGTAAATATTGTGTAGCTAAGGTCCACAA